CTAGGGTCAAGGTCTTTAAGTTTGGGAAGGTAATGTGTAATACCATGTTCCGAATTGTTACCTATTTGGGTGTGGGTGATGAAATATAGATGATTCGGGCATTCAGATTTTGTTTTGGTGCCAAGAGGTATTTTAGTAAATTCGTAGCAGGCTTTTATGGAACTTGGATTTTGTGTTTCGGGAGCTTTATGGAAAGTATGATTTGATTAAATTGTAGAGCTTCTCGTTACCTTTTCATGGATATAAGGATAGTCGGAATCGGAATTGTAACGAGGAAGTTATGACCTTCGGAGTATTTCAGGGTTTGAGAAAGGAAGCCAATAAGCTTTATGTTAGCATATTTTGTTCATTTCTAAGCTAGCCTACATATCCTAAAAACCCTAGATCAACCATTTTAGCCTCTTAGTGGTGTTCTTAAACTATTTGAAGGTTTTGGTGCACATTTTGCCCTCGGGAAGGAAAGAAGGGAAGCATGAAGTTGATTTGTTGGGAGGAAAGGCTTGTATACAGAATCATCATCTTGTAGGGAAGATTTTTGAGGTATCAAGTTTGAATTTTTGTCTTATTTGTGTACATATCTCTTCTTGGTTTGTTTGTTATGATTTTTAGCCTCCTTTTGGGTCTATGGATGAGTTAGGTCGTTTTTGGGCTAGTTCTTTTAGATATGGGCTTGTTTTAGTATCCTTGAGCATAAATGTGCAGGATTTATTTGAATTTTTGTGACATGCATGCATTAAGTCATCTGTTAACTCCTTTTTAAGCTTAAGAGCTTAATTTAGCCATGCACAAATGTAAAGTTCGCAACTTTACATGATAATCCAGCTCAGGGAGGCCAGATCTATATTTTGGTGCTTTGTCTTAATTTTTTAAGTTAAAACATCAAGTTTGTGATGAATAGGGTGAGTATGTTGGACGTACAAGCAGATATACTTAGCGTAAAGCCTCCTAGCGAGTACGCTGCACGTACATGCTTGTATGCCCCACTTACTCGGTCTGATTGGATCTTGTATGTCTAGGCTATCTTTCTGCTTGGCTGCTTGGGGCTATGTTGGGCCATCTAAGAATATGCGTTTTGGATTAGGGAAAAGTTAATGAGCTAACCAATTTGGAAAATTAGGCCATAAGTGGGTTTTGGAGGATTATTGGTTTGTGGGATTTTATTGTTGGTAGTTTAAGCCTTAGCCTTGGACCAAACTAAGTGACGGTTAAAATGGTCTTTTTACCCTAAATATGAATTGTTGGATTTGGATTGGAACCCAATTGTTAATTGGGTGTTATTTGTTTGATAGTGTGGGAGTTCTAGCGGATCTATAGTCAGAGATTTATTCGTGGGTTTAGCTGTCAAGGTGAGTCTCCTCACTATACTATGGGTTGAAGGCACTAATGTCGGCCCATTTGGTCTATGTATTATAGGAAGACTAGGGGGTTGCCCTTGACATTTGCATGAAAGACCACAAGGTGGCTCTTGGTAGAATTATATGCAAAACCATAGTTTAGACTTTGACAGTTAAGTATATAAGTAGTTGCAGATTATATGCTACCTGTCTTTGTGATGCTTGCATGGAAGACCAGGAGGTGGCTCCTAACACTTGTTTGTAAGACCCAAGGTTTAGGCCCACGGCTTGGCAAGGAAAGACCATGATACAGATCATTGCATAATGGCAAGACTATGGTTGGCACATAGCACCTCATATTGCATGTTTGATATCTATGAATCGTACGTTATGTTTGGTATGTGGTATTTAGGGAACTCACTAAGATTTATGCTTATAGTTTGTGGTTGATGGTATCAAGTACTTATGGTTCGAAAGGGAAGGGCTCGACTTGATCGCAACGCGTACACCCGTGTTTTCCATAAACTCATGATTTTGGGAATGTACTCTAATAATTGTTTTGCTTTGAAATACTTTTAAATGATTGAATAAAGGATATTGGAGTGTTTTCGTTATATTAAAAATGAAATTATCATCCTATTATTTTCGGGAGATTACAACTTGGTATCAGAGCCTTGGTTTTAGGTACTCAGGCATACTCTTGGGTATGCATGGACTCAAACTGAGGTTTTGGTAAAAAAAATTATAAAAAAATGTTTTATAAGAAGGGTTTCTAATCAAAGAAAGGGGTGTGATGCGTGTAATCAGTCGGGCACACGTAAGTGGTTCCTAGAATAACAATACATGTTTATCAGGATATTTGATATGATTATGAGAATTGCATGCTAGATTAGGGCTAAGGATATGCCAATGATTTTATACTAGGAGAGATGCCTTTATATGCTTGATTATATGACCTTTTAGAATTACATGCTAGTATGGTTTTTAGATAAGTGGATAGAATGGCTTGATTAGTGTATCCTGGTTAGATTTTCCATTGCCTGAATGCTACTTGCTTTGTGCTTTGTGGGAATCTTAGTGATGTGAATTGACTACTAAGTGAATACGCTAAATTACATGTGGCATGAGTTAAATAATCTGAGTGTGATGGATTTGACCCTATTGCGCAACTCTTGTATGAGTCCAACCATTCTAGGGTACAGTCTTTTACTCAAAGAATTGTCTGATCTCTGTCATATGTGACTGTATTCATGAGGTAGTTAGTTGATATTAGTAGGAGCCTTTCAGCATCTAAGGGCAGGGTGAGGTCGAGAACCTAGGAGAGCCTAGGAAGCACTTTACTTACTTTAGTCGTGCTATTTAGTGTGTATTTGGTGCATCAGTTTGAGAATGTGACTTAGAGGATTCGGCGTGATTCTTGAGGACAATATGGATAGGTGTTGAAGGTAGTATTGGCCCCGTATTACTGAAAGCACATAATCCATACTCGAATCAGGAGATGTTTTAAGAATCTAAGAAGCTTATGGAAGGAGGATTCTTGGTTATTCTCTGATCATTTCATGTAGTATTTCAGTTTGGTGATGAGCACTTAGGAAGGAGGTTCTGGTTATAGTTCTGGCAAATGTATATGTATTGAGCTGATTAGCGATCAAATGTGGGAGTTCATCTCATCGAAGATTACCCGCAGTATTTTGGAGCAGCTCTTGTGATCTTTGGTTCAGTTAAGGAGGGGATTCTAGATATTTTGGATGAGCGCTTGGGCGTGTTCCATGTTGATGTTATGGCTATCGTTGGAGATCACATCCTTTTTTTTCATGAGTTTCATGCTAGTGGAGCTCCCATGTTCTCTATGGAGAAGGACCCCATTACCATTAAATGATGGTAAGGCAATATGTCTAACGCATTCAGTACGCGTTTCTACCTCGAGGAGGCAAATGTTAGATATGCTTCCTGCCTTTTAAAGGACAGGGCAAGGGGTTAGTGGGAGGAGGTAGGATGTAAGGTCGATGATGATGTAGTTAATGCTATATCTTGAGATGATTTTCACTACTAGAAAAACAGCCTTTTACAACGCTCATTGCGCGTCGTAAAAGGCTCAGACGACGCGCAAATGCGCGTCAAGGAAGGCCATGTCATAAAGAGAGACGACGCGCATTTACGACGTTCATTTATGACGCGCAATTACGACGCGCGTTTACGATACGCAATGCGTATCAAGGAAGGCCCTGTCATAAAGGAAGACGACACGCAATCACGTGTCGTAACCTTACGACACGCGTCTTAATGACACGCAATGCGTATCAAGAAAGGCCCTGTCAAGAAAGGCCATGTCATAAATGAAGACGACACACATTTTGCGTATCGTAATTTTAATTTTTTTTTTTAAAAAAAATTATTTATAGATTTACTGATTTTCAAATTAAATTTGCATTTCATGTCTCACAATACAAAAAATACAATACATTGCACAAAATTTAATGTCATACAAATAATCATTCCAATAATAGACAAATGTAACATTTCAACATTTTTTTTATATAATTAACTAAATTATTAGCCAAATTTCCTAAACTACCAACATACTTTTCTATGAAGAGCATTAACAGTGTTCTATTCCATCAAAAACTTCAAAACCTGCATAATTAAATTAATGTTTAATCAGCTACAGGTTAATAAGGTAGATTTAAACAAAAGATTTTCATAATAGTAAGATTTTACTTACCATTGTTGTTAATGACATTGAAAGAAGCAGCCCAACAAACACCCCCTCAGAAGGATTACTACCACATAACTGTTGATATTTGATACTTTATTACTAAATGAAACCAAAAACAAAGTTAAAAAGTAAACAAAATCAGAAGGTTTTGGTCAAACTTACAGAGGCTGTATTTCCAAATATTACTAAATGACATTGATTGAACCACCTGCAGATTTACCATTTTGTCCCTATGAGATTCACTACTGAACACATTCTACAGGTTGTAAACTATTATATATATATATATATATATATATATATATATATATATATATATATATATATATATATATATATATAATCATTGTGAAAAGCAAGAAATTAGAAGTGGAATGTGATTGCATACCATCAAAACCAACATTTTTACATGCCCATTTTTCCCAGTTTGTATTCACGAAACCCTAATCCATGAATGCTTGCTGGTTACAAAACCCAACAAGTAGTAAGGCAGGCCTGCAACCAACCCATCCACATTTGTTTCACATAAAATAGCTACCTCATTCCATAATTACTAATATATATATATATATATATATATATATATATATAGACACACACACACACTTCAATTTTTTATGTCAAGTGATAAGAAATAAGATATGTTAAAAACGAAGTGCAAGACCATCTACAGCAGGTAACAATTTTTTTTCCAATCCATCACTTGTATGCCTAGTTCATTTATGAGAAAAGATAACATGAATGCTTTCGTTCATTTTAGAGTACGATAAAATAAAGAAGGTTATTAAGTGAGATAGAAAATAGTAAACTTAGTTTTATAAGATGACAATTAAGCCTATCATCGATATATGGGACTAAATGTTTTTCCATGAAAAGTTTGAAAAACTGTATCATTATGAAAATTATCCCACTCTTGTGTTATTAGCAAGTTTTTCTGTAATACGTGCAAAATGTCCGAGACAAATGTGGGTTCCAAAGACCTTAATCTTGTGGATAATGATCAAAAAGTTGAAGTAAACAATGACTCATCTTCACAAGAAATCCCAAAGGATTTAGAAAAAGCAGAGGACAATCCCATGCCCACTCCAGCCCAAGAGGTACTTCCTTTCTTTTGTAGATATTATCCTAATTTACTTATTTGCCCTTTATCACCATTACAAGGGATTTAGTTAAAAGTCTTAAATCATCTGCTTATTTGATCTTTAAAATTGTAGTTGAATAGTCTTTACTATATAATCTTTAAAATTGAAATTTCACAAAGTTCATTATTTGCAGGAAGTTGTAATCAAGAAAAAATATGGTGGATTACTACCAAGAAAAACCCCTTTAATCTCAAAGGTAATTCAATTTCCATTCTTTTTTTTTTCTCTAATTATGGAAGAAGAATACTAACAACTAATTTGTTCCCCAATCATACAGGATCATGATCGTGCTTTCTTTGATTCTGCAAATTGGGCACTAGGAAAGGTACTTAAAATGATTTTTTTTAAAACACTTGATCTATTTTAATAAAGTTTTGATGCTTCATGTTATTCTTGTCTTTTTTACAATAGGGGTGACAAAAGAGCAAAGGACCTTTAGAGGCACTACGCCCAAAATTGCAGGTATATATATATATATATATATATATATATATATATATATATATATATATATATATATATATATATAAAATTTTGCATTATGTTATGACTCACTTCTGTTTGACTTGATGTTTTCTGTCAGCCTACGCCACATCAGCAAGTTCGTTCAAGACGATCATTCTACGCCCCTGCAGATATTATACCCTCTGTTGTATGATGGGAGCTGCTGTTTTGCAGCTGTTGTTTCATGACCAAGAAACACATACATGTCTCATGATATTATACCCTCTGTTGTATGATAGGAGCTGTTGGCTGCTCAATATAACAAACTGCCTTGCAAAAGCATATTACAAAGATCTGAATCATTAACAACTACTAACTCACATTATCTTATTAAAGGATACTCAAGGGTAAACTAGTCAATAGCAGCAACAAAAAAACACTATACATATTCCTTGCATGCAGTTTAGATTTAGATGATATAAACTGCAAGTATGCTTGTTGTAATATATGAGAACTTAGATTCACCTTGGGAAGATTAAATCCAACAAAAAATATAGGAATTGTGAGGCACTCCAAGTAGAACCTGTTATACTACAACAAAAAGCCAGAGATGTTAGAATACATTTAATTAGTGTATTTAATATTGTCAAGTGTTTGGTTGGTAGGAGATGAAAATAAATACAACAAAAAATTAATAATTTTAAATTTTTTACTTATGTGTAAAGAAAATTTCATTATTATTTATTTCAAGATACATAAAAGAGGGTATTCTAGTGTTTAAAAAAAGGAGGAAGGACATGAAATTTGAGGATCAACTTTGGACTTCACTGTGGACTATCAACATTGGAAACGTGTGGTTACCAACTCATACATGACCGGCTTAGGAATAAAGTGGTCCAATGTCAGGAATGTCATGGACATGCAAGCTGTCTAATGTCAGTAATGGCGGGTAAGAAAAACGTACATTTTTATAAAAAAAATGAAAAAAAATCCAAGCGGTTGATTTTGTTTTCGTTTATTGGGCCAAGAAAAGGAAACAAGGATGTAACAAATAATGTTGAGGAGGCAAAAAAGGGTTCAAGGAGACATGAGATTGTGAAAAATAATGGATCAACGAATAAGAGTGTGCCACCTGTCGCAACAACCGTAAGCAGTGGGCTCAAAACGCAATTGCTGCTTCAACCTGTCAACAGTAAACGAGATTATTTTCTGCATAGTTTTAAAAACAAAAAAAGGAAATATTATTATATTTCATGTTGTATATATGGCTTAAAACGAAGAATATGCATATACCTTGCCATTTGAACATCCCTACTGCATTTGCAACATTAAGCTCCACACTAAAACGTGATCTTGACATCTTCTGACTGCTATCCATGGGAAAAACATAATTGTTTCAGCATGATAGCAAGTTTTATAAAATTAAGAGAGTACTTACCAAAAATATTCATTAAGATCATCTTAATTTCTCCATGAAGCATGGCTTGCTTTGCCACCTTGATTTCTCCTGGCTTCCTGCCACCATTAAAAAAAATAAGTCCCATTAGAAAAGTAGATTTTTTCAAATTAGATGGTCAATGGATCGCAAGGTTAACAACAGTTATAAAGAGGTAAGTTGATAAAAGCAAGAACCTAATTTGTGGAGTAGAATCCACTAACCTCGATCATCATTCATCAAGCTGGGATTTATTATTATTATTATTATTATTATTATTATTATTATTATTATTATTATTATTATTATTATTACAAATACATACTTGTACACCATTGCTTTGATTCCACACAGTTTCCTACTTTCAAAGAGAGTTAAAGGAAGATGATGGAGAGTTGACCGAAATGCGCACTAAATACTTTTCGAGAGATCTCCTCCAAATCACTGGTATGGCTATCGAAATCGTGAGCATCAGCATGTAGGTTCCAGATCCAAGTGGTAGTTTCAGGGCCTTTAGCTATTGTTCTTGAGAAATGACCCGGTCTAGCCCATTCCTCGAATGAAGTTTTTATGTGATCCCTATCTACCAAAATTTTTACTTCTGGTTCCGGCGAACGAATAATCATTGAGTCCTCTTTCCGGACAACACATACAAAGAGACCCGCCAACAGTCAAATAATTAGTGAATCTCGGAGAGATATTTCTATTATATAATTAGTTTCTTTCTCTTCTAGTTTTCTATCTCCCATCTATCTATTTTCTTTAGTTATTCACTAGAGCAATTATGATCTGGAAGTCGATCCGGGGCAAGTGTTCGGATCTATTATGACATAGCCATGAGGCGCTCAACGGACCTTTTGGCTCTTATAAAAACCTTTCTGACTTTAGATTGATACAAAAACTACTTTTTGTGCAACCTAGTATATTTCAGATCTCAATTAAAAGTTATTAGATGGAGCTGCTTCATGTTTTTTAGATAGTACTATTACTCTATTCCAAATCACGCGAGCAGCCATTATACACACAGTGTTGAATACATAATGTTATTTTCTTTTCTTTTCTACCATTTTACCCTTACATTCCAAAAAAACATATGCATCAATTTATTTATTTATTTATTATTATTATTATTATTATTATTATTATTATTATTATTATTATTATTATTATTATTATTATTATTACAAATACTTACTTGGTAAAGTTTCTTTTCCAGGATTGTAATTGCCAACGTCCAAATCACATACATCATAATCATGCATTAAATCAGGTGCAATTCCTTCCTGTGAGATTTAAAAACTTTTTTGTGGTTAATAACAATAAAAAATCACATACAAATAATATCATTTCAAATTATTAATTTACCATTAGTAAGATCAAGAAAAAGGTCAGTCCGTTTGACTGTAACAGACATGGAAAATCCAATTGAAGAAAAATAGTCCAAAGATGTGGAAGCAGAACCATAGTAAATCTATGAGCCTTTAGAGAGCAAGATCACTTTATCCAACATGTGGTAGATCCGACTCTTGAACATTCAATTTTGACTTTATAAACAACCTCTTCAAACTGAAAAGAATGACAAAATCACCATGAAAAACATTTATATAATTAACTCAAAGAAATTAGCGGGTGGGGATGTAAAAAGACCTTTAATGTTATCAGGTATAAGGCTTGATCAGGTTTCACCATTGTTGAAAGTTCTTCTATTGGTTTAGTAATGGTGGTGGTGGTGGTCGTGTCTTCAGGGTTTAGAACCAGCAAGTGGAGGGCCATGGCAATTGGCCAAGTGGTAATGATGTCTATATGCTTTGCTTGATTTTGGCTGAAACCCCCATTTTGATTCCACCACAACCACCACACCAGCTAGTGACCAGTTCACTTGGAAATAGATTAGGAAAAAAGCGAGCGCTGCACCCATCAACACAAATGGTGTGATAAAGTAATTCGAGTCATGGAAGAAGAAGAAGAAGAATAAGTGAAGAAATTGTAAGTGTTCCAAAAGTGAAGAAATCGTAGGTGTTACACGAAAAATTAAGATATCAGGGAAGAAGAAGAAGAAGAAGGAGAGACTAGATGAATAACGGTAAGCACGACATACCTTAGTGCAACCAGAAGAGAAGAATCAGACCTGCTTCATTGAATAGAATGAGATATTTCTTAAAATCGGACCTAGGGCTTGTAAGCAGAACAAAAAATCATGACAAATCATGCTCAGTAAAGCATACCTTAGTTCAATCCGAGCTAGGGCTTGTAAGGCCCTAAATCGTCGGCGCTGTGTGGGATGAGAAGCTGTAAGGCCCTAAATCGTCGGCTCTAGGATAGAAGTAGATGGAGCATGTAAATTCTTCACACTTTCAAGCATAATTGTAACCCAATCGTCGGATCAAGCATAATTGTAACCCAATCATAGTCACTCAACGCGAAAATATGCGATTTTGGAATGGTGGAACTCTGTGGCGAAACCGATAGCAGCTTGGAACGAGATTCCAGTAAGCCAAATTCAAGATTCGTGAAATTCTAGGGCACACGAGGCTACATGTTTCCTGAATTTCAGTCTACCGGAGTTCCGACACATAAGTCCGACTTGTACGCTTTCGGAGTTGTACTTCTTGAGATATTGTCAGGCAAAGAAGGCAAGTGAGGAACGAAGGAAGGAGTGTCGATAACTAGGCAAGGCGGCAGTCGAATCCATGGAGGGGGAAGAAAGGATCGTAATTAGGGCAAGAAGGAAACAAAAGTGGAGGACAAAAAATAAGGCGGGTGTTCAAAATTTTAGGGATTTCATTTTCCCCTTATCTACTAAACGCGCTTTTCATTAAAATTATAAAGCGACACTCATAGAGGACGCCCATTTAAGATACAGCGCCCTCCGTGTTTTTAATTTTTTCTCGTATGACGCTAATTTAAGGGCACGCAATAATGCGTGACCTAAATCCTTAAATTTTTTGAAGAGATGACACTTTTTTACCGCCACTCTCCATTGCGTAACATAAATCAATGAGTGTCATGGTTTGCGCGTCGTAAAAGGCTATTTTTCTTGTAGTGTTTACGACTAGGTTCCGAGCCGAGTTTACACTGTTGATTTAGGTGCAGCAGTTGGCGAGAGAGTTTTGGGATCTCTGCCAGACTATTGAGACTGTGGCACAGATCACTTCCAAGTTCCAGGAGATGGCTATATTAGTTCTGCAATATGCAGCAGATGAAGAAATGAAGAAGGTAAGGTATCATGATATGTTGCGGGATGATATTAGGGAGTTTGTGAGTATTTTAGGGTGCAAGACTATGAATGATATGATTTCTAGAGCCTGAGAGCGGGAGATCAATTTAGAGAACCTATGTAAGAGGGGCCAGATCACGTGCAGGTGGTGGAGGGTCCTGGGAAGAGACCGAAGACTTCAGATCAACGATTGAGGGGCCAATAGGGCCGAGGTCAGTACAACACATGCAGGAAGCTGCACGATGGGATTTTGTCATTCTAGGGGTTTGGCAAGGTTGGTAATGTTAGCAGTATTGCCCTCGGGGGGAAAACCCATTATGTTTTCATTACAAATAGGTGGGCTACAAGAAGGCCGACCGTCCGATGTTAAAGGGAGGAGTAGTGAGTGTACTTACTGTGGATACTTTGAGGATCAATGATAGTTGTGAGGGTAGGATTGGATCCCCAGCAGATAGGAGTCAAGCATTGCAGTGTCAGATAGGGGAGTTCAAGACTCCAGCAAGTGATATTGCATGTATGTTATCTTTTGCTTTCTTTCGGTTTTTATCAGTATTTATGTTGTTGGAGTTTTTGTATTGGTTTGGGTAAGCGGCATGTGTGGTTATTGATTGATTTTCATCATTAAGAATTGTTATTTGCCATTTGCATGCCATGAATCATTAGTGGGTCAGAAGGAGTTGCATCTTGTTGAGCGGATTTCAGTGTGTTCAATTGTTATTTTGGTTCTTACTTGGGATCGGTTCGGGGGTATCATTTGAAAGGAC